GCTAATTTTTTGTATTTTTAGTAGAGATGGGGTTTCACTGTGTTAGCCAGGATGGTCTCCATCTCCTGACCTCGTGATCTGCCCGCCTCAGCCTCCCAAAGTGCTGGGATTACAGGCGTGAGCCACCGCGGCCGGCCTATATGTGTGTGAATTTTTAAAAGGTGCCCCGTCTGGGTAGAAGCAGCCCTTTTGAACAGGGGAGGCTTGATGGGCTGAAAGAATGGATAAATGAATGAATGAACAAACACATGAATAAATGAAAGTATGGACAGAATATGAGAAGATCCCTGCATGGACCAGTGAGGATGATGCACCATGCAGAAGGTGGAGGGGCACATGAACAAAGGTCTTTAAGGGCTAACATTTATTCTAGGACTTGGGGATTGTACTTCTAGAATTTGTTAGGACAAAGTAACCCCCACTACCAGACCACAGTTATTAGCACCTCCCATTTGCATCTCCAGGCTCAAGGGGGGCCGATGATGTGGGGTCTGATCATAACACCAGGTCCTTGGCTAGGGAGCACCTCTGCCAGTCCATTTCTCTCCTTGTCCCTGCAGTCTCCATCAGTAATCTTCCCTGTTGACCCCTAGGTCAGCGATACTTCCTAATGTTCAGCAACGCATGGGTAGCTCTGGGGCTCTCTCTGACCTGCACCTCAGCCCTCAGCCTCATCTCCCCTGCCTGGTTCCAGACCCCAACCTTCTCCTTTGGCATCCTCACCTACTGCTCCTGGCCTCAGGGCAACAACTGGAACCAGAGCTGCGCGACCTTCAGTTCCCTGGAGGTTATTCCTGACTTTGCCTGGAAGGTGAGAGCTGGTTCACCAAGTCACTGGGTCTTCAAGGGCTCGGTTAAACTCATCAGGGTAGGAAAGCTGGCTGAGTGGAATTCGAGGAGGCTTTCCTCACTGCCTAGGTGTCCCAGTGGCTACGAATTTGCCATTACTCTCCTTAGAACTGAGCACAGAGGTTCTTCAACCTGACAGCCCTTCAGAAACACCTGTGCAACTTTGCAAAAATGCCAAGTTCTGTGCTCCACCCGGAGCCCCTGTCTCCATAGGCGTGGAGTGGGGTCTGGCTACTGATAATTTAGCAAACGTGCAGGATGATTCCAAAGGCTGCCAGCCAATATAGCACCTTCGTGCAAATTAGGAAAAGGTGTCCCTTCTTTAGGATGCTCTACTGCCATCTACTGGAAAGTCACTGTAATCAGTTTGCAAATCTATGATGGCCCGCAATGCGCCTCTGAGAGTTGTGCAGTGTACAACCTGCACACTCCTACCTGGCCACCCTCTAAACACTGCTAGGTTTAAAAGTGAAAGCTAAGCTGTTAAAGTCCCTGTTATGACGCACGTTGCCAAAATCAACAATGGGGAGAATGGGAAAGGACTCCTAGTCCAGCACGTCTAAGGAAGAATATACAGTCTTCAAAATTGGTTGTTATAAGGGTGATGTAACGGCAGCTACCAGGTGCCTCTCCTGATGATCCTGACACGTAGCAAGTGCTTAATAAAGGTACTATATGCTGGTCAGTCAGTGTGGATCTTAATTATGGCTCTACCACTTAATTACCCATGTGTTCTGAGGCAAATGACTTCAATTTCTTGGACTTTTATTGGACAGTTTGTTTTCTTGGACAATTTCTTTCTATGTAAAATGGAAATTGTAATAGCACAGACCACATGCTGCAAGGACTCAGAAGCTGGTCAATGAGCAGAGGGAGCACCTGCCCCTGTCCCAGCCAACACCCTTCCTTCTGTCTCTTCCCTGCAGGTCTCAGCTGTGATGCTCCTCGGAGGCTGGCTCCTGCTGGCCTTCAATGCAATTTTCCTCCTGTCCTGGGCTGTGGCCCCCAAAGGGCTGTGCCCAAGAAGAAACAGTGTTCCAATGCCGGGGGTGCAGGCAGTGGCAGGTAAATCCAATGCACTGGCACATAGTCAGTGCTCTAGACATATTTATGGAATGAATGAATGAATGAATGAATGAATGAGTCTGTGAGCAGAGCCTGGCCTCTTGGGTCAGATCTCAGAGATAAACCCTAAGATTGTTGACTATTCCTGGTCCTTTGGCAAGCCAGAAATCAGGGGGAGGGAGAGATGGCATCCTTAGTGTCACCCATTCCTGCTGTTAGCTGACCCAGTCTTAATAATCTGTCCCCCTTTGTTTCTCTCTCATCCATCCACTTCATGTCATCCTTACCAGGGCCCCCATACACAGTTGGGGATGTTGTGCACTGTGCAAGCATGCCCAGCTGAGAACTGAGGAGATGCTGAAATCTAGCCCATACTTCACTTGCTAAACTGTGAACCTGCAAGACTGCATCTCTCGAGAAGAGTCACTTTTCTGTAATTTATACATAGTTTTTGAATGTACTAGCCAGGTCTTCATTGCAATCCTCATCAATTAATGCTCCACCATCTCTTGCCTGGATTATAGCAATAAGCACCTCACAGGTCTCACTGCTCTCACTCCTCCCCCTTAGTGTCTATTTGGCCACACACTGGACAAACGCGTCCTGTTCAGTTGACATCAGATCGTGCCACTCCGACGGGCTTATCCACCCTCCAATCACTTCCCATCATACTCCGATTAAAATCCGAACTTCTTACCGTAGCCTGTGAGGCTCCACCTAACCCAGTCCCCAGTCTCTCACCAACCTCATGTCTTCCTTCCTCCGCCAGGCTCAGTGTGCTCTGGCTATTCTGATTTGCAGTCTGTTGCGCATATATACCATGCTTTCTCCCTCCACTGGACTCCTCTTTCCCCAGATTTTTGCAGGTCTTGCTACTCACTTCATTACGGGCTCTGCTCAGATATCACTGCCTCCATGAGGTCTTCCGTGACTTCTAGCTAAGGTAGCTTCCCTCTCCTTAGATTCTCCATCTTCTTACTTTGCTTTATACCTTTCATAGTATATACTTACCTGAAATATCGAATCTGCCTAGTTGATTATTGTCCCTTTCTCCAAAGAACATCAGTTCCATGAGGACAAGGACATGTCTGTCTGCCTTGTTATCACCAGCCCCTAGCACAGTGCTTCATACATAATAGGTGCCCAATAAACATTTGCTGAGTCAATTGATGGAGACATGATCCTTGTCCTAGGCTTGCTTGCAGTGTCTAGTTGGTTGGGGGGTTGGAGGGCATCAGTCAATGGATATTTCACATGATGGGGATGAGCAAAGGATGCTAGAAAAAACTCCAGGAAGCACCTGGCCCAGTGTATGGATGGGCCCAGTGTATGGATGGGTTAAGGCAAGTTTCTTGGAGGAGATCCCACCTGAGCCAAGTCTGGAAGGATGAGTAGAAGTTAGCCAAGAGTACAAGCAAGGGCGTTTCTGGTAATGGGAACACGAAGAACAAAGGCACGGAGACAAGGGAGCAAGGCATGTTCAGGGAACTGAAAGTAGACAAGGGTGGCTGGAGAGCAGCAAGGGAGGCCAGGGATCTTCTGATTTCTGTTATGAGTGCCTTGGAAGCAAGAAGGTGTCCGGTCATTTCATTAGTATCATTAATGTCCACTGCAACACCTCCAACAGTTTTGATGAATGAACACGTGGTTGGATGGGTAAGCTGGTGAATGGATGAATGAGTGTATTGACAAGTGGATGGATGAACTAATGGACAGATAGATGGATACATTAGTGGATAGATGGATGGATGGATGGATGGACTGGTGGATGGATGGATTGGTGGATGGATGAATGGACGGATGGAAGGATAGGAAAAATGGATAGAATGGAATATAGTTGGATGGATGTAGGATGAGGGATGGGTGGATGGGTGGATAGATGGATGGGTGGGAGGCAGGTGGCTAAGCAGGCAGATGGACAGATGAGTGGATGAGTGAATAAATAGGTGGATAGAGGGATGGAGAGAATAAGTGGAGTTGAACATGGTTGAGTGGATGGATGAGCAGATGGACAGAAGGGTGGGAGTGTAGTTGAGAGAGTGGGTAGATAAAAGGAGAGATGAGCCAATAAATAAGTGAATAGATGGATGGGTGGGCTAGGGAATTGCATAAATGAGTGGGTTGATAAGTGGATGGATGAACAATGAATGAATGGGTGGATATCTTAGTGGATAAGGAAAATGGGCAGACTGGATGGATGAATGGAAGATGAGGGTGGATGATGGGTGGGCAGATGGATGGGTGGGAGGCAGGTGGTTAAGTAGGAATATGGATAGAAGGATGGATGTGTGAATGGATATGTAGATAGAAGGATAGAGAAAATAAGTGGGTAAGAGTATGTTTGAATGGATGGGTTAGTGAATGGACAGATAGTTGGAAGCATGGTTGAATGAGTGGGTGGATAAAAGGAGAGATGAGCCAATAAATAAGCAAATGAATGAATGGGTGGGTGGATAGATGGATGGGTGGATATAGGGTGGATGAGTTGTGGGATGGAAAGTTATTGAGGTGCCCGTTGGCCAACACACTGGCTTTCCTTCCTGCTATCTCCAGCTACCGCCATGATTATGGGTCTGCTGGTTTTTCCAATCGGCCTTGCCTCCCCATTCGTCAAGGAAGTCTGCGAAGCCTCCTCCATGTATCACGGTGGGAAGTGCCGTCTGGGTTGGGGTTACACGACCGCTATCCTCAATGCAGTCCTGGCCAGCCTCCTGCCCATCATCAGCTGGCCCCACAGGACCAAGGTCCAAGGGAGGACCATCATCTTCTCCAGGGCCACCGAGAGAATCATCCTTGTGCCAGAAATGAACAAATAAAAATCTCCTGGGAGAGGCACAGAGAACACACTCCAGAGGTTTATGAAATCCTCATGTAGCCAATTTCAAATCCCACCTCTGCTCCTTCTTGCTGTGTGACTTCAGGCAAGCCACTTTACCTCTCTGGCATGGGTTTTTCTTCTGGAAAATGAAAGTTGAAATCATACCTACCTCATAAGGTTGTTCTGAGAATTCACTGGAGATACTCTATGTAAATAAAGCACTTTGCACCATGTCTGGCACCTAGTGTTTCATAAACATTGGCTACTATTATTATAATCCTTACCTCAAGGACTGTGTTGATAATTCGACATCTTTATGAAAACTGCCCAGGCTAATTCTGAGCTCATGGCTATCACTCAAAAACTAAATTGTTTAATTGGCATGTGCATATTCTCTGTTCCTTCTGTTTTTATAATTCTTCCTTGTTTTAGAGAATTTGAAAATTATTTATTTTCTCATCAAATATTTAGTGAGTGTCTATTAAGTACAAGATTTTGAGCCAATGGGCTGGGTGTGGTGGCTCACGCCTGTAATCCCAGCACTTTGGGAGCCTGAGGCGGGTAGATCACAAGGTCAGGAGTTCGAGACCAGTCTGGCCAATGCAGTGAAACCCAATCTCTACTAAAAATACAAATATTAGCTGGGTGTGGTGGTGCATGCCTGTAGTCCCAGCTACTCAGGAGGCTCAGGCAGGAGAACTGCTTGAACCTGGGAGGCGGAGGTTGCAGTGAGCTGAGATCATACCACTGCTCTCCAACCTGGGCGACACAGCGAGACTCCCTCTCAAAAAAAAAATTTTTTTTTTCAAGCCAATGTTGGGTTGGGGAGAAGGAGGTAAGGACCTGACTCACCCCTTATGCAAATAATCCCATTGATGTGGAAACTACACTGTTACTTGGGGCCCTTTAGAATCTATTTCCAACCTCTCTCTTCAGGCTCTTTCTTGTCACCCACTCAACACCTGTGCCTCTCCTTCTGTCTCACAGTGAACTTCTAAAGCCCACAGAAGTCCTCTTCCTGTGGCAGGCCAGGTCTCACCAAATACAGGCCTCCATAACAACTATTTCAGTACTGAGTGAGTGGTTAAGTTTAATATTAAAAGCCAGTGCCCTCATACAAAGGCTGGAATAGAACAAAAGCCCACCAAGAATTTTGCCTAGACCTTTCCTGGGCCTCAAAGCATGACAAAATAACGAAGGAATTCTTAACAGGACCCATTTAAGGATTAAACAAGTTTTACTGGGGGTCTGAAGAAACTCCCCAGGCCTCCACAAACAAGTTTATTGGAGGTCTGAAGGAACTCCCCCAAATCCCCGTGATTTAGCAGGAGACAAGATAAGGGTAATCGCCCCATTACTTGGACCCATTTAGATTAAGTAAATTTACTGAGGCTCCAGAAGAAGGTCTTCAAGACTCAGACCTTAGTTATAGATTAAAAGAAATTAATCACTTATTTATTTATTTATGTATTTATTTTTGAGATGGAATTTTGTTCTTGTTGCCCAGGCTGGAGTCCAATGGCATGATCTCAGCTCACTGCAACCTCTGTCTCCTGGGTTCAAGCGATTCTCCTCCCTCAACCTCCCGATTAGCTGAGATTACAGGCATGCGCCACTGCAGCCAGCTAACTTTTTTGTATTTTTAGTAGAGATGGGGTTTCACCATGTTGGCCAGGCTGGTCTTGAGCTTCTGACCTCAGGTGATCTGCTCACCACAGGCTCCCAAAATGCTGGGATTATAGGCATGAGCCACTGCGCCCGGCCCACTTATGTCTTTAGATGAATGCACGCTTACACATAGACATATAACTTAGAAGGTGTATAAGCTCTAGAAAACTTTGTAATTTTGAGTTGGTCTGGCAATAATTTCCAGGCCTTCTCCCTGTGACAGTTACAGAAATAGAAACTCTCTTTCTCCCCAGTTCATCTGCATCTCATTATTGGGCCATGAGAAATAGCAGCCTGACCCTCAGTTTGGTCCGGGAACATTCTCATCTCTACAGCTTGGCACGTGCTGCTTTCTCTGCCGGGACTCAATCTGTTGATTTCTCCTGTGTTCATGCATTGCTCTTCTTTGGGAGCAGTACCCTAATCTTCCTATAAAAAATGACCCACAGTTGGCAAGGCACCGTGGCTCATGCCTGTAATCCCAGCACTTTGGGAGGCCAAGGCTGGTGGATCACGAGGTCAGGAGATCGAGACCATCCTGACCAACATGGTGAAACCCCGTCTCTACTAAAAATACAAAAATTAGCTGGGCGTGATGGCGTACACCTGTAGTCGCAACTACTTGGGAGGCTGAGGCAGGAGAATGGCTTGAACCTTGGAGGTAGAGGTTGTAGTGAGCTGAGATCGTGCCACTGTACTCCAGCCTGGCGACAGAGTGAGCCACTGTCTCAAAAACAAACAAACAAACAAACAGAAAACACCCACAGCCAGTCTGTGGCCACCTTGGGCTTTAAGATGGATAAATGAGCCCTTCCGGCAAATCAAGCCTGGTCAAAATGATTGATTCAGAGTCGGGCATGGGCTCTGTGGAAGCCAGCATGGAGGAGAACAGAAGCACGAGATGGAGAGAGGTGGAACTCTAAGAACTTCATTTGAACATCTGGACCCAGCCATACCTGACTCCTATTTGCAGGAGACAAGGTCATAGGCAGTTCTAGGCTGGCATCCCCTAGCACAGTTGCTCCAGAGGAAACAGTGAACTTCTCTTTCCTCTCTTGGTATATATAAATCCCAGGGAAGGAGTCTGATCGGCCTGCAGTGGGTCATGTGCTTACCCCTGGGCAGGGAGGGCCATGTCAGGAGTCTCATTAGAAGGTCACTGTTACAGTTCCCCAAAGTTGAGGGGGTGCTGGTACCAGAAGGAGGGAAGGATGCTGAGCAGACAGAAACACTCCATGGTCAGTTCTCTCTTTAAGGGAGTCTTTCTTATCCCAGTTTCACAGAAGTGAAAATCGAGGCTCAGAGAGGTAAAATTACTTGCCCAAGGCCACACAGCTGATCAGTGGCAGAGCTGGGATTTGAATCTAGGTCTGTCGGACTCTGTGGTAGATGCAAAACACCACCTGGATTTGTTCCCTCTGCTCCCCCATCCATCCAGCTCATCATAATCAAACTCTTCTGGCTTCAAACACCCACCCAAGAATATACACGAACAGCCCCCAAGAGTGATTCCACTGTTCTGAAGACACATAGATCACACAGAACGCAGCTTGTTATTTATCTTCCAGAACGAACCATAAGAACAACTTGACAGCTTTTTAAAACAGAATAGAACAATAGAAAAAAATTAATAGAAAATCTAGGAAGATACCACAAGGGGTTCAAATGGACTGAAGGACAGTGATTCATTTCAAGTGGTTCATTTCAAAAGTGCCACTTTTCAAGCACCTCAGTGCAAATCAGTCTCACGTGGGAAGATTCCTTAAGCCTCGGGCAGATCCCAGTATAAGGTGGGGCAAGTGGAAGCCGGCAAGTAGAAGCCCAAACTCAGTTTGCACATCACCTACTGGTGCTTGGAACATGTTGCCTCTTCTCTGTAATAACCTCACTATGGTCCCCAAGTTTCTTAATTTTCTCTTTGAACTGTTTCAGCAATGCCAAAGCTAATGATTCTCCAGCCGGTAAAGCAAAATCAGTTAGAAAGAGACTCTGTCTTTATTTGGCAATAGAGGGAGTGCTGTAATTTTCTCTTCATCAAAACAAGAGGCATCTATCGTTTGCAAGGAGCCCTGTACCTACAAAGCCTGGAAATGACTGTGCCTACAAATCTGAAAAAAGAAAGCCAGGAAGACACTGGAGGGTCCCTGTCCCACATCCTCATGTAATGGAAAGTCTCCACAATCCCGTTGGTTATTTGAATTCTGCTGGAGTTGACCTAGAAACGCATTGGCAAGCTGGTATTTCAAAAAGTGTCAAACTGTGCTCCTCTAGAGTTTATACCTGTCCTGGGCTCAAGCTCTCAATATGCACAGTGACTTGGAAGCCAAGAAGATGGGGAGCTGGGAGCCCTTTCCTGACAGCAGAATCAGATGCAGACTGCAGTGTCAGTGTAGATGCTGCTCCCGCCAAGAACTGATGGCCTCATCATACCTAATTTTGGGGTTTCTCCAAGACACAGTCCAGGAGGGTCCCAGGCTCACCCTTTCTAGAGTTCTCCTCCTACGGCCGCATTCTCTTAAGTTTCAAAGTCTCACGTGAGAACCTAAGAAAGGTAGATGATGGGAACTCAGGACAAATGGGTTCCCAGCCCCATCCTCAGTGATGCTGAGGGGCAGAGAGTTCCAGTAAATGAGAGTGGAGGGGCTAAGACTGAGTCCAGAACCAAAGGAGGCATTACTATCTCCATTTTGCAGAAGTGGAAACGGAGGCTAAGAGGTGTGAAAGGAAACTACCCCAAATCACTAAGGAAAACTCAAGCTGGAAACTGCTTAGGGCAAACATGCTTCTCATTCCATTCAAAGTTAGCCCTCTGATCACTGAGATAGATGTATATCTGATTGCCACCTTTGGAAAGACTAATCAGAAACTGAAAAGAATGCAACCGTTTGTGTCTCACCCATCTGTGACCTGCAAGCTCCTTCCCCACTTCAAGTCTTCCTGTCTTTGCTTCAAGTTGTTCCACCTTTCCAGACTGAACCAATGTACTTCTTACATATATTGATAGATGTCTCATTTCTCCCTAAGATGTATAAAACCAAGCTGTGTCCCGACCACCTTGGGCACATGTTGTCAGGATTTCCTGAGTCTGTGTCACATGCATGTCCTCAACCTTGGCAAAACAAACTTTCTAAATTAACTGAGACCTGCCTCAGATTTTCTGGGTTCACAGAGGTAAAGGCACTCGCCCAAAGCCACATGGCCATAGTACCAGATCTGGGATCCTACATTATTGTTCCCTGAATATGTGGACAGAGCTATATGACATGATTTTAGTTGGTATGGTGAGAAAATCTTTTTTTTTTTTTTTCCAGACAGAGTCTCACTCTGTCACCAGGCTGGGGTGCAGTGGCACGATCTCCGCTCACTGCAACCTCCGCCCAAGCGATTCTCCTGCCTCAGCCTCCTGAGTAGCTGGGACTACAGGTGGGCGCCACTGAGCTCAGCTAATTTTTTGTATTTTTAGTAGAGACGGGGTTTCACCATGTTAGCCAGGATGGTCTGGATCTCCTGACCTCGTGATCCGCCCACCTCGGCCTCCCAAAGTGCTGGGATT